TCTTTCAATTTTTGTCTTATTCTTCTGGGTATTATATCAATTTTCTGTCTATTTCTTATTGATCTTCTTATAATTTTCTGCATCTTTTTTATTTATTCTCTCTTTCTTCTTAGTATTCCTTTAAATGTTTCATCATTTGTAATAGAGCTTTAACCTAAGCATCATGAACAGTTTATCAGGACTTTGAAGTTTAGTCTAACTTCTATTATATTTTAACCAAAATAATCCAACTTCTGACACCAATTGTTATAATATGCTCTATCATTGATTAGGTCCTTTTAAATTGTTCATTGAAACTAATGGGAAGTCCAGTTCATACAACAATAACGAATTAGTTTACTTCTTCAATAACGTTTGTTTTAAGATATGTTTATTTTTATGAAGTAATAGATTGAAGTTCACAAACAAACTTTCACCATAAGCTCTGAAAATAACGTAGGACCAATACACGAATAACGTTCAAAAGAAATTTGCTCGATTATTAACAAATATACCACAATTGATTGTATTTTCCAAATTACTTACCCAATTAGCCCGTCATGGCCAGGTGGTTAGGGCGCTCGACTTGCAATCTGCTGGTGGCGGGTTCGAATCTCTGTCACACCAAACATACTCGCCCTTTCAGCCATGGGGGCGTTATAATGTGACGGTAAATCCCACTATTCGTTGGTATTATTCACTAGCCAAAATATTCAGCTTCGCTAGGGGGTATTAGATTGATAACTTACTGGTCCACTGTGTGTGTATTTTGAACCTATTTGAGGTCAAATACCTAAAACGCGTCGGGGACATTCCGTTCCGTCTCTCCAGAATTCTTATAAAATAACTCATTCAAAAATCAGACGTATAATAGAGAAGAATAACTGAAATTAGTATTAATAAAAAGAAACAATAAAGATTAGAGATTAAGTAAGGAGAAGGAGTACTGGTGCTTAAACCCACGACGTCCTGTATTCCACTACCTGTCACTGTTCTCGACCAGCTGATCAGAAGGAATAATAATAATAAAGCCAAAGTACCCGGCTTCGCTCAGGTTATTAGATTGATATTTTACTGGTAGACTGTGTGTGTGTGTGTGTGTTTTGAACCCAGAAACCCATAGAAGTCATTTCTTGAATTTGAAAGATATAACGCAAAATTAAGTGAAATATAAAAAATGATACCCAGGTACACACCCTCAGAATCCCCTTAGTATAGGTCAAAGTTTCAGGTCTCTAGGTTCTTTTCTCTTGGAGCTATGGCGGTCACACACACACAGACAGGCTCTTTATTTATTATAGATTACCAAAATTAATATTTTTATTTTATAGTTTAAACAAGTGTTGACTCGGACATCAAAGCAGTTACTACAAAGATGAAACATCGCTTTTTTGTAGGTAGATAAATTATATGTATTATAAAAAATGTTGTTAAATTTTTAGAAGTAGCTAGAGATACGGTACCGGTCTCAACTTCAAATTGAGTAAAAATTTCAAAACGAAATGAGCAAGATTTCGTCTTAGCGTTATTCTACTTCAAGATACTATGGAATTCCTTGTTAAGCACTATGACCACCGTGGGCATTAAAACCCGGGTTTAGCGTCATAAGCCTCCCCCCCACACAAACGTATTAAGAAACTAAAAAATAGCATATCTACTTTAATATTTTAAAAAAATCCTACTTATTCAAGTTATTTGTTTTGATTATATAGCAAAGCCACGGTGGGCTATCTGCTGTGTACCCCACGGCGAATCGAACCCCGGATTATATTTGTAAATCCTTGAACTTACCGCTATCCCAACGGGGACGTTTTTATTATTAGAAATAACATGTTTTCTTTATCTATCTCGAATAAATATTGTACAATATAATAACAACCCATAGTTTCATGCTTAAGATTTTAAACCATGCTCGTGGATTTGTGTTCCACAGTTAGGAAAAACAGTCAAATCGTTGATTAATTTGGAAAGTTTTTTTATATTGTTGTTGTTGTTGTTTTGCTTTTAGAGCAAAGCCACGTTGAACTATCTGCTGTGTCCAACACAATGGATCGATCCCCGAAGCTTATTAAGTCAGTAAACTTATCATTGTTTCATCGGGTAACAGTTTGAATAGAGAAATGTATTGTATTCTAAACTTTGCTTCTGGTCATTAGTCCCATTGCTAAATGGTTCAGTAGAAAAATTATATATTAATAAATTAAAATGTTAAACTTTACAAAAACATGAAATTTATTAGTAAAATGGAGGATTCTGAGTTTTGCTGAAACAAAAACAAGGCATGAAAGCTATTAATGGCTGGAGACGGCTTGAATGGGTAATGAAGAAAAATTTTAATATAAGTTTAACATAACAGCAAATGTACAACGTTTCGACAAGGTTTTGTCATCATCAGGTACAAGTAGTTTACACTGACACGGATATATATATATACAGTATTGAACAAAGAAGTCACATGACCGGGACTGTTGTGAAACTTAGAAGAGGTATCTAGGCACCCCGGGGTGTTGGTTTAGAGTAGGGTTGTTTTGTTCAATTAAGATGGATTCCTTGATTTTTCGTTTGTTTATGTTGGGTTTTTTGTTTAAAATCACTGTGCTTTTATCACAGGTAACTACAACAAAATGTGGTTTCCCGAAGTTCCCAAAAACTGTATTTTAAATAACTTTTTCAAAGAATTCTCAAACAAGACTATTAATATAGTCAACCAATCCCGTAAACTGAAAAGTAACCTCACAAGTAACGAGATCAAATCCATTTATAATCTTAAAAAGGACACTAACATTAAAATTCTAAAAGCTGATAAAGGCAACACAACTAATCATGAACAACTCAGAATACATCGACAAAATAAACGACATCCTTTCCGATAAAAAGAAATTCCAAGCCATCCTAAATAACACAAGAAACACACA